GATTTTTGTTTTCATGTAGTAAAATGATCAGAAAACAACAAAAATGTAACAAAATATAAAGCATTATATTAAATGTGAATGAATACACAGTCAGTGCTGCTATAACTTGTTTTTCTAGAACGTGAGCTGGACAGATTCACGATTTGTGTTTTATGCCTAGTATGTCGAGCAGAAAGTTTCACCAGCTGGTGGTGAGTGTTAACTATTAATTCTGATGGTTTAAAATGGGTATTTTTGTGTACTTAAGGTTACACTGTTGCATAAAGGGTGCTGAATAACACGATTAATACTTTATTTTAGTTAAAATAGGTCTAACGTTTTACGAGCCTTTTTCCACCCATTTCCGGAAAAGGAGAAAAAACCCTTGCATCTCCACTGGCCCCTCCCCCACAAAGCCCCTCCCCCGGCCCCACCCATACCCCGCAGGCCCCTCCCCTTGTCCTCATGTTTCTCTTGCTTGTATCTTGTGGCTTGGCGAATTTCAATTTTTTTTCTACTTCAATTTGTTAATGTTCTAGCTAAGAATTGTTTAATTTAAGTAAATAGTGCTTTAGCTTACCAGCTCTCCCCAATTCAGATGTTTCCTTAAGGACAAAAGACTAACGTACAGTATGTAGCTACATTATGTCAATAATTTATTTTTGTCTTTATTCACTATACAATTAACAGAGTTAAAATAACACATTATACTTACAATCTAGCAAATATTGGTATCTTCACTGCTATCTGCAGTCCAACTTAATGATTCCCATGAATGCAATTTTCTATAATGTGGAGATCTGTAAAAATCTGCAGAATGTGATTACAGTACCACATTATAGCGTTCATTTTTGAAAATCAAAGCATGTGGTTTTATTCTGTGACAAAGCCCCATTTTTCTCATTTCACATCCTCACAAGTTCACATTTGGCATACAGCATGAGCTAAAAAAGGTTGCATCTGAGAGGAGACAATCTGACTCATGTAGCACATTTGATTACTAGTGGCTACTGTAATTGACTGGAGGATCCCAACCAGCCTCTCTTTAAAGCGTGTTGAGATGTCCAAATGTGTTGCTCAGAAGCAAATTCATTACATTTGGCAGCACACCTGTCTACTTGTCTGTCACCTTCAAAATCATAACATAACATCACTTTATTAGCCCTATACAATTTCTTGCATTAGGAATTTGTCTTTTTGCATACCCCAGCTTGCTCTCCATGAGACACACAGACAGGGAGAGAGGCTGGGGGTCAGAGCACAGGGTCAGCCATTGTACAGCCCCCCTGGAGCAGTTGGGGTGAAGGGCCTTGCTCAGGGACCCAACAGAGGAGGATTCCTCTGCCAGCTAGAGGATTTGAACCGGCAACCTACCAGCCACAGGCGCAGATCCTGAGCCACAGAGCCACCGCTCCGCCCTGATTAAAATCACTAATCTTGCATCTTCTAGCTCCACATCTGTACAGACCCACCTTACCACACAGGCCTGAGGGCTTCTCCTGTAGTCAACGGGGACTGTAAATGAAAGGAGACACATCTTGTTTCAATACTCTTGCCCTAATGGGTGTGTGAGGAAGCTGGTGATTGTCTGAGGCATTAGTAAAACTCTAGTGAGGGTTTAAGAGCTTTCTTTAAGAAAAGTTTTTTTTTTGGTAAAAAATCATCACGATCCTGCCAGAGAAATCTTGGAGGAGATTTACAAGAGGTAAAAGCTCACAAAATTGAATCGATACATGAATGAGCCCCTAGTAGAGGTGAACATCGCTGAGGCTGATTTAGTTTTTACAGTTTTTTCACTTTCAAATTGAATTTATATTTATGTCATTCCTACATTCCCCAAAATGTCTGTTTTCCTGGCTGGAGCTTGAAGTTTTACTCCTAAATAAATATCTTGAATCTGCCGCAGCAAAAAGTGGGAGGGCTTGTTGACCTCATTTGCCATGCTCTGATTCTAAGAGAAAATTCAATATTTTGAATTACACTGAGAGAGAGGAAACTTCCCTTTAACTGATATAAATGAATTCATTGTGAAGGAATTGCACACCTCCTGTGTTTTATGGAAGTCTAATCACATATAAAATCCCTATCAATTCCAATCCCCAAGGGTACAAGAACATTGATCCAAAAGGCTTAAGATTAAGCTGAGTGATCGTTCCTCAATAATGGGGATGTTCTGTTTTAGTTTAAACTTTATCTAAAACTTGAGCAATAATTTAACATTTTGTTCAGAGTAATAATTCTTCAAATGACTATACATGATTTTATCTTTTTGAAAGGCATTAAATGGATATATTCAACCTCCTTGCTCAGATCTAGGTATTTCTATATGTTGGAGCCTGATCATATTATTAATAATAAATATGGGTGACACTTTCATCCAAAGCAATGTACATTTGTACCCATTTATACAGCCGGGCATTTTACTGGGCAGTGTGAAGGAAGTATCTTGTTCAAAGGTCTAACAGTATTTCTCCGCCTGGGATCCTCGTCCTTTCAGTTATGAGTTCAGAGGAGGAAGAAGTCATTCTGGTCTCTACAGAAAGGCCATGTTGTCATGCAGGGCTTGTTTAATCTATTTTTAACTGGTCAAGCGCGACCAAGCCAGGATGAATTCAAGAGAGCCGGCACTGTGTTCAATAACAGAGTCTCAGTCATGGCTCCCTGGGATGGATTAAACTGTGTCAGAAGAAGTGCTTTCAGGCGCTGGTAAAACAACAGCACAGGGAGCTACTATTAATATTAATGTGCATTCGTATAGTGCTTTTCATTCCAAAGCTCTTCTCAGATAAGAGGAGATTCACTTATTCCAGCACTGAAGTGCAGCTTCCCCAGGCTGACTCTCAACCCTTCTGTCCCACCACCCAGCAAATGTGAGGCAGAAGCGAGAAATTCACCTACTGAGTTAAGCTGAGCTTTAGGAAAGCCAGACTGTACAGTCCCCACGTGGAATTTAGGGATGACCACCATAACCATCATTAGGACCTTGGTTTAATGTCATCAAAAAGATAACAACTCCTAAAGCACAGTGTCCCCAATTTGGCTCCTATTTTCAGCGCTGTTCACCTCTTTTGGACATAATCTGAATTCATTTTAATGAGTAGGATGTTTCCAATTTTCCTTAGCATTCTGGCTTTGTGTCACTAAGCAGGCAGCCAGGTCAGTCCCTGCAGCATGACGGTTTGGAGAAATAAGTTCAGGGTTTTTTCTCATGCCAGTGCTGTGGTGCTGTGTGTGGCTCATCGTGACTCTCATGAGCCCTTCTCTTTTACACTCATGAGGGTCCTTTACTTTACCATTTGGTATTTTTCATTGAGAAAACAGCATGAACGCAGTTTTTTTCTAACCAGGTATGCTTCTTCTTGTGGAAGCTGGATATTGGAAAGTCCTGACACTGGAATTAAGCTCTGCATGGTGGCTGAGTTTTCATTTAGCTCAGCTTGGTCAAAGTCGATTGGGTCCCAGCAAAGACCAGAGCTCCTGCGGCGCTTTGTGTCGCTTCAAACTGCCGGGTGCCTGTGGAAGGAATCTGGTGTTTTTAGTGCCAGTGACACTTTTTATATCCTTGTTCCAATTTGTTTGTTTGTTTGTCTGATATTTCTATGCAATTCCTTGGTGTACCAGGAGAAGTAAAACTATATAATTTGCCATGCGTTAAACGGGACAATGTAGTGCACATCATAAGGTAATGACTACTTTATAAACAGAGTGCTCATTACAATGACACAACCCTGTGGTAATGCTGTACATATGATATGATATGATATGATAGAGGTGGATAACACTGGATCAGGAGAACCATATCCAGCACTAAATTAATCAATTTAAGGATCACTTTTGAGTTTTTAAGTACAATAGTAACTGAATTGGCCCAGTAAAGTAAGGAATGACCGTGTTCCTGAGAGAAACTAACAAAGTTTGTGTTTCAATTTTTGAAATGATGCCTGAACTAAGCATGTGAACAAATCGCCCCTTAAGTGATCTTAAGGGTAAGACTTGGTCAAAGGGCGACCCACATTACCTGCTGTATTGTGAAACTCCAGGACATGGGCTGGCCAAACCCAGTATACACCATAGTGTAGCAAGGTTTACTTCAGTGTACTGTAATATACTGTAGTATGATGATTCATGTTTGCTTGATGGAGATTCATCTTTCTACCCTGTGTCACACAAATCAGGGATCACAAAGCTGGCCATCAAGCATGTTCGAAACATTATTCTCGTACAGCCTTTTTCATGATGTGTCAAGTGCTTATGAATGACAGTGAAAAACAGTGTGAACAACACCAACAGCACCCCAGAACCCCTGAAGCAGCCAGTGAATAAGACCTGTCATTTTTCAATCTTAGTTTGTAAATAAAAAAATTAAATGCTCCAACTCTGAAATGAACAAAACAAAGTGCAGGCAGGCAGGAATGACCTTGCAAATCTTTCCACCTTAAAAGCAAAATCTAGGAGAGTTATCTTATTCCAAGTACCTGCATACATTTTGAAAAACTAGCTGTGTCAGAAAGGCTGGTACACAAGAAATGGATTTGCTTGGTCTGAGCTTAGTGTTATGAGAATATAACAGCTTCCAGCTGTTAGCTGTCATGGTGCAGATCAATAGTTCAGTTCCTAGTCATGCTGTGCTTAGTCAGTTGACAAAAACCATCAACTGAAGGAAGAATAGATATGTTAGCGTTAATAAGAATGTTTTATCAAAATACTCTTCTCTTGTAACAGTTGTTGCCTTGGTGTGACTCACTGTAAGGAGGAACAATACATCTTTGAATTGACATACTGTATCGAATGTCTTGGACTGTTGTTCTGGTTTTGGTGAAATGAAACATAATATATGTATGGTACTCAAATATTAAACAGTTAATACAGATTTACAAATATTGAAATGAAGACACAGGTGAAAGCACAGCCTAGAAACATAATATGGTTTGAAATGCATATTTAAAAAAATAATGCAGTTTATTTAATTCAAATGTTTTCAGTGTTTTTCAAATGGAATGACAGTGTTTTTTTTATTGCAGGCTAGAATCTCCAACGCGCTCTCTGTATATGGAGGCTCCGAAGGGTGTCCATATTTTAGCTGAAGCAGGAAACATCCAGGCGACCTGCAGAAGCGAGATGAGACTGGAGTCTAAGGATGGAGAGGTAGGATGGTCAATAGCCAAAATCAGGCGTTTGAAACAGAACAGATAAATGGCATCTCTTAGTCCCAGTTTCTGTTCTTGAAGCATGGCAGTTTTACTTTTAAACTTGTTTCTTCCCTCCCAAACCCTTCCATGTTTTCCAGCAGGGAGCATGATGTTCCCTTGCCAGTGAAATGGTCTTATAAAAACACACCATACCTGTCAGAGTTCTTCAGATCAGACACAGCAGTGAGACGGTTGAGCTTCGTCGAGAGTAGACTTGGTGGTGGAATAAACAGTCTTCTGGTCCTTCATTCACACTGTTAGTTTCTGTGTAGCATGTCCTGAGTAGAGCCCTGCCACTCCGAGGAACCTAAAGCACTAATATTTGGTCTGTGTCTCAGCTTATAGTTCAGAGACAAGGTAATGTGCCATTGCTCAGTACTAAAACAGTAATGCTGAAACAGATGCACTCTTTCTTCATGACAAACAAAATTGTAATAAGCATGCTTAAGACACTCAGTAACTTCACTCTCAGCTTATCTGAAAGATCCCCCCACACACACACTCACACACATGACTTAAACTGATGCTAAACTTATCCTTACAATTTAGATCAATTAACATGCTTTGACTCATAAAAACACAAGTACGATCCATTCCCTATTCATCAAAAGTTATACCATTTATTCCAAAATTTTGAAACCATTTTCATCTGAATCAGTTTTTAAGCTTTGCTACATACTGTATTTCTCTACCTGTCACCTGTAGGATATGCCTAACATCTCGATTTACAAGAAGTCACCTTTCACTGTTGGCCAGACTTTGTCAGTGTAATTTATTCGAAAGGCTTTCCCTGCTCTGAAACAGTGGTGCCCTAACCACATGAAACAGCTTTATTTGCCTGAGATCTATAGGAGATAATATGGATTGATTTCATGTAGTGATGATAAATCACCTCGGTACATTTCCTTTTTTCCCATGGTTCCAGCAATGTGTTCCAGAAAAAGCTTTTTTTTCCTGTAATCACATAAGAAAGCAGGACCAAGCGGCAGAGCTTACGGTGTACAAAAACAAATACAGCACAGAGATGAGCTTTCTTCTGTCATTGATCGGAATATTGGACATTTTATCTAATACCAAAAGAATTGCAAATCTGAATATGATATTAAGTATTATTGATCAGTGATTTGCATTATCTGATGCTCTACCTTCTTCTTCTTATTATTATTATTTTCTTATTCTTAACTACCAGCCATGACAATCTCTTCAATCTTGCACAAAAGAAATTGCAAGGTGATGTGATTCTGATGCTCCAAATCAGAGTCAATACTAGTCTAAACAACAGACTAATTTGAGCTTCACAATGGCAGGAGGATGAGAAATAAGCAGCAAAATGGAAATTATTATGCATGTTTCTATGCAGAGTTGTGGGAGTCTCAAATACTCAACATTAAAATGTTGAATCCAGTACTCTGGGACCCTAGAGTTGAATATTCAAAACATCTTCAAGATTAACAATGGACCCAGGGACAAAACAAGATGTTATAAACCAGACAACAAACAAGAGACTCTTCTTTAAATAGAACAGTCAAGAACAAAATCACTCACCAGGCTGTTCAAACTGTTTTTATGAGACAGAATCTGAACCTCTATGTATTAGTTTGGTAGGATTCTTGGATTCTTCTTCTTATAACCAGGTGAGCAAGAAGATATGAAAGATCTTCTGAGTTGAGAGAGTGTGGAAGAGCTGGGTGAGGTTCTGGGATCAAGTAACTTCTCACTAGCAAACAAATGGCCTTCTCTCATTTGTGAGGCTTCTTATGTTCTTATTTTGTCTCAATGTGTACTTTCTTCTATATTCTCAGGAACAGGGTTTTCAGATGGATTATCTACTGGCAAAGAAACAAATTGGACTTGTCTTCTCTGTAATATTTGTTTTGTCACCTGGCCCAGGTTGGTGATAGTAAAGCTGCAGATGAAACACAAGTGACAAGTGTGAAGGGAATTGGTTTAAAATAATCTATTTCTCTGTTCTTATCACTGCAAAAAAAAACATCCATCACATTTTTTGTGAGAACCACAGTGGTCATGTCACTTCATGGTCACTTCTCTTTCTTGTATTGCTGCCTCAATTAGTTAAAAGCTTCACGCATTGCAGAGCACACTGCCTTCCCTTGTGGTGTTTATGGCAAAATCCGCTCAATAACAGATGTCCTGAGATGTCGTCTGCGGTTTGTGCTTGAAAATGTTCCAGGTCATTTGGTGAAAGTGCTTCCCTGAGACTGTTGATAATGGTTCTCCTTACCTTTCAGGAGTTGTTGAGTTCCATTTGGATCTGTGTTCATGCGAGTGTTTTCCAGCGTCACCAGAGAGAGTAGACTATTGTAATTATACCCTATTAAAGAGAGAAAATAATAATCAACCGTGCCAAGAGAAGCAGTTGTTTAAAGTTTTGTTGTGGTCACATCCTATGACCAGAACCTCATGTGTAGCCTCATGGATGCAGACAAAAAAATATCATCTCCCAACAGGGAAGGTCCTACAGTTTGGGGACAGACCTACAGTATGTTAGCTCAAAGTGAGAAGGAATAGAGAAGCCAGTTTTGGCAGTAGGTCAACAGCAGCGATAGTGATCCTGGTCCAACAATATTAATGTTAATGTTGCTTTAATGCTTTAATGGAACAAAAGGTATAATGTCAAGTATCACGGGATGAAAGATCAATGTGGATCAGCTGAAATTCTGCCATACAGTATGATTCATCTGCTCTATTAGACTAATTTATTTAGAGATTTTGAAACAGGTTGAACAAATCTGTTGACAGACAAATATATTTGCATTGCATAGTCTCATATGGGCAAAGTTAGGCTAGCAGCAGATTAGACATTGACTTTTACCTCTGGGTCTCGGATGATATATAAATAAAGCTGACATTGTTCTCTCAGGCTGCATCGCTGTTTACTGTATAAGCTGAGAAATTTGCCTAGTCATTTGAATACCTATTTTGAACAGGTAATGCAGCTTTGAAATGCATTGTTGCTTCTAATTAGTACAATATTTTGCTTTTTTGCATTTCTATCTCGACATCTATCTATGGTGTTCAATCTTCTGCCGTACTTCCGACCGAAAGCATGCATTGCTTTTCCTTGGCTAGAATTCATCATCTGTGTTATCTGATGAGAACTGTAGGTCTCAGACATTAATCTTTTTTCTCTTCAAGTAAGTGAACATGTTTCAAAGACATGGAGTATATAAGGTAAGTCAAGGCCTGGAGACTATTACACAATACATAAAGAATTATCCCATTCATTTGTGCCCTCCTTCTTTTTTCAGATAACACTAGATGCTGGCAAAATCAGGTTGCCTAAGCTTCCCCAGGGGACGTACTCTGCCGCTGGTACAAGGCAAAAGGTTTATGAGCTCTGTGTGTGTCCAAACGGGAAGCTGTTCTTGTCTCAAGCTGGGACTGGCTCCACCTGCCAGATAAGTACCAGCGTCTGCCTCTAGAGACCAAGCAACCAACGACACAGACATAATGGAGGCCTAGTGTGGCTCCAAGGTGGCTTCATATGAAAAACAGCAGAGAAATTCTCCTGAAAGATAAAAAGACTCACAGAAACCAGCCCTGTGACGGGCATTCTGTTTGACAGCTTTTATCAACTGCTTTGAAGACTGTTTCAGTACAAGACTGACTAGGGTGATCACCTTTAAGTGGAATTCCTAAAAATATGTCCCCTCTACCTGGCCCCTGTACCCCCACCTCCTCCCTCCTCTCCCCCAGTTCCAGGGTCGAAGCTTTACTGTTGACTGTATGCCTCACCTGTTGCAGTACACAGCATTTCACTGTGGTTCTGGCAAGAGGGCAAAAGTGTGACCGATGTTGAAAACAGAGGCAGGTCAAAGACTGGAGACGATCCAGAGTGACAGGATATTCTTTTTTCATTAATACCCTCCAAAAAAATAAGTTTATTAAAATATGAAAAACTACTGCATATGTTTTAGCTGCATTTTATACACAGCTGTTGCTGGGATCAGAAATTGCTGCAGAGCAAGAATGGAGCAATAACTGTAACTTCATTCTGACTCCTGCTCAAGTGGCAGAAATAGTCCAGCTCCCAGAAACCGTCACTCAGAAACTAAAGCAGGGAGCCACGTTTTCCTAGACAAAGTGATTTTCCATCGTTTTATTTAATGAGACAGTATGTGCCCTTACTGCTGGACATAAATATTTGAAACTAAAAGAGAGGTTGCCAAAAAATAAACATTTTGATAACACTCTGTTATTTTTTGTACATATGTTTCCAGTTTTTGACAGAGACATTGTCTCTTTTGTGAGTGATAGAACATACCTGCAACCTTCGAATCAACATGGATGAAGCCTGGAGTGTCAAAAAGACCATAATACATCGGTCTATTGACCTCTAGCAGAAATTATTTGTTGAAGAGTCCTAGTTCAGATAAAAGGAAACACTCCTTTATTTTAATACAGCCATTGGTCTAATTTTCTCAAAATGGCCCATACTTCTTTTTCAGAACATTTGTAAGTGAATTTTCATTCTAACCAAAAACCTAAAATTCTTATCGCCCATACAGTTTATGCTAATTGACAACAATTTAATTAAATGGTAAATCAAGTTTATGGTACACAGTGTCCTGGTGTATAGTTTTACATAAACACAAACAAATTATTTTGTTCTCAGGAGTGAAATAAAAAAACATTTGTCATGTACTGTAGTAAAAACTTATTAAGAATGGAAGATATGGCTTTTTGTTACTATAAAATCATCAGGCGAATCAAGCTTAATGGGCAGAGGAACTTCACTTTGTTTGGTCCGAATTGGTGTGTCTTGGTCATTTGCAGTATGTTTGTTCTAGTGATAGATGTACTGTGTAGCGCACAATGCAGAAAGAATTATTATGATTCATTGTTTTATGTAGGTGGTCACCCTACCAATTACTAGTACTGGGACAAAGAAATGACACCCACTCTGTTCAAGGAGGGGAACTGTGCCTAAGCCTTAATCCGATGCACTTGTGGCAAGGAAAAGCACATTGCTGAATTTTTTCAAAGACGTGTGTGTTTTGTTTTTCTTATGTGATAAATAGTGGGAATGCAAAGATTTTAATCAAGCCTAAACTGCAAATAAATTCTACAAAACGCTTTCTATATAGTCATAAAGGCTTTTACGAAACATTGGCAAAACAATCTTAAACACAGTAAGGGCCAATTTTCCCTGTGGGCACCTAATTCATTCAATACGGAGAGGGGTGTTTACCCACAGCAACGTTTGTCAGAGCCCACAGTTCGAGGCAGACGTTTAGGGGTGTTTTCTCTTGAGGAAAAAAGATAATTAACTGTTGTACGGTACTGTTCAACTGTAATTAATAACATTCAATGCATAATATCTTTATGTTTTTATCATTAAAAAAATAAAAACATTGCATTCAGTTTTTAAATAAGACACAATACCACACGTATTTTGAAAATACAAAGCAGAAGAATCAAAGACAAGACAAAAATACAGGACAAGGTCTAGTCCTAAGGGGCATGTACAGTGCTTTATATTATTGTTGTTGAAATTAATTCATTTTGCTCATTTTTGTGAAATGGTCATTCCTTCAAATGGAGCAGTAAACATGAAAGCTAAAGTCTGTCTGTATTTTGCAGTTTTTGAATGAAAGTCTTTGCATTCCCAGGGTGAGACTGTGTGAAATGGGTTCATTAAGAGTTTGATTTTCATGTTTTTGTTCGGCTTTAAGTTCATAGCAACAGAGTCACAGACCAAATTACTGGAGGGGCTTTCATTACCTTTAAAGAATTAATTAAGCAGGAATCCCAATCCGTCCTGGAGAGTTTATAATAATTACTGTTTGTTGCTCTTTTGTCATATATGTATGTACAGTATATCTTGATTACATGATGTAATGAGTTTTCTCCCAGAGTCTCACCTGATTAGATATTATTTAGGATTCAGTACTGTATATTGTGTGAAGGATGAAAAAATACTCCTAGATTGAACATGTTATCAAACACAATTATCATTTGATCTGAAATAGATTTAAAAATCTCTGTGCAAAAGTGGTGAATGGGTGTTTGTTGTACCTGCCCAGGAGGTATGTGTATGTGTCTGCAGTACCTTCACAATCAAAAACAATTGGAGCCCTAGTTTGGTTTGGCAGATCTCAGCACGGAAAATTCAATCAGTTCAGGGAAAACACTCCACTCGTCCATGTTCTGCTCCTTATAGCCTTGTAATGGCTCATTTTATCCAGGCCTCCAACAGTGGCTGCATTTACCTCAGTACATGAGGTTTATTTGCTAAGTACTGCAGCCACTTCCCAGCAGAAGGGCTGCAATACTGTGCGAATGTACAGTACCAAAGCATCTTATTGTTTCTGCAGTCTGGAGTCATATCAGATCCAACACTGCAGCTCCAAATTCCATAAGAGGGAATAAAAAGCAGGGCCACAAGAGCCAGGAATGCGCAAAGCACTTGTGAAGTTTCACATTAGTCATCTTCACAAAATACATAGAATCCTAGATCAGGCTGCAGTATTTCAGTCCATTATGCTTCGTCATCTGTGATGCTGACACAGTAAAAGATCATATTCTGAAGAGGTAATGACCCAGAAAGATTTGCCAAGGAGTGGAACACCCACATTTTCAAATTTGCGTTGATTTCATGGTGATGAATACACAATGGTGTACAGGAATAAATTCTGTAGTTCACCTATTTTATATGTACTAAGAAATAAATAGCAGGTTTTGAGGTATTTTAATAAATAGGTCCGTGTTCTAAGAACAGAACATGAACAGAATTCGTTTAACTGTTTCTATGCTTAAAATGAAAATGTAAAAAAAAAATATTGAAATGGCACATTTTATGTGCAAAAGCAATGGAGTTGGCAAGTTGCACATAGAAGTCTGAAATAGCAAAAAAACTGATTCTTACGTTATGCGGGCCCAAATCTTTGGGTCCATTCACTTCACTCACTTATCCACTAAATTGTTTAATCAGCAACACTGAAGGACAATTTGCAATTATCTAGGTAAGTCCATAAATTTGGCCAACTTATCAAGATTAAGACTGGAGTCTGCTGAAAGATTCATCATTGCTCTTCACGGCTAATTGCGTAGCAGCAGAGAGAAAATCTGAAAGGGGCTTGAAAACCCATTTATCTCCACTAAAGCTGCAAATAATGGATTTGTTTGTCCAGTTCATAATGATTTGTGAGCACAGTACAGTTCACAGCTGCAAAGAGTTTTCTTGTGCTTGTCAAACAACTCAAGGAAACTCAAGATTTGTGCTTAAGGATTCTGGATGTTAACATACAGTAAGACAATGCTATAACAGTTATGAGTTTGACCCCAATAAATTTAATTCTAGGAATATTTTCATAGCAGCTCTGATACCGTTCCTGTGGCATTCTGTATTTTTATTATTAAAGGCATATAACACCTACCATAATCTCTGCATGTCCTATCACAGTGAACGATTTACATCTAGTCAGAAGATGACATAGAAATTGCGCAGTCATTAGAAAAAGTCATGTGGAACCAAAAATTAATGTATTTCAAAGAAGATTCCTAGCCTAATTAAGCTCTGGAGAAAAATGATTGTTATTACTGCCTAATGTAAGGCCCAGCTATCTTGTCTGAGGGTCAGGCGGAACAGAACAAGGTTTGAGACTGAGTTGGCACATATCTTCATAAATCTCACGAGAGTTGACTCTTAAAATCGTTTCTTGCCAATGATATGGTCCTCGTCTTGTGACTTGTCAGTATTTTCTGTCTGATACAATTCTATATCCTTCTAGAACATTTTGCTCCAGATGTCGTATTAGATGCTACAACCACTACAAATCAGCTTTGAAGTCCCAATCCATACCATTAAAATGATATTTTATTAAAAAGCAAAAAAGCAGTACATAGTAAATTTCGTTTCCAAAGAATTAATTTGTGATTTGCTGTAATTCTGATTTGCTGAAGTACAAAAAATCAGATTCTAAGAACCCATTAATATATTGTGACATACAGTACTAATGGACTTACTATTGACATATTAATGGAATAACATCACAAACAGATGCTATATAGACATCATTACAGGTACCATGTTAATACAGGTCAGTAAATAGGCTGTGGATAGATCCCTCCAGTGAAATAAATTAAATGAAGTGGACTCGATACAAACCTTTGTGTGACCTCTTTGCTACAGTTATAGGGTTTTTGAAAACTTTTTTTATTTGCATTATTAAACTCCGTGGGTGCAAACAGAAGACATTTCATATAGAACTTTGCAAAAAGTATCTCTGGACTGTTTGAATATATTTGTTAAAGCATGTTTTGTTCATTAATTATGTGTGAGAGTGAACTTTTCCTTAATTTCTCAGCTCATGGCCTTACACAAATGTGTTAAATGTCAGAAGGGATTTAGAAACTCAAATTCTCATTGGAAACTCCAGAAAGATGTACAAACACACGTGGAACTGGTGAAGTTGAGGTTAGGTCTTTTCAACACCTGCCTGTAGATGAATACATATCAAAGTACTCGTCCATCAAATGTACCTTTCAAAAATACCATGTACATAAAATATATTAAAAATCAACAGCTTTTTCCACATGAGAAATTCATATAAGGAGTCCTTTAGGACCAAAAGTTTGGTACAGCTTGTTCCCTCTGTGTCTCAGTGCTGTAGTAACTGCTGTGTATCTATTAATCTACCAAATGAATGATTGTGAAGTTAAGGAAAAATGAAATGTTTGTTGTGAGTTAACACATTTTTGCCTGGCCAAGAGATCACCAGTTTTAACTGCATTAAAAAAATAGAAAAAATTAAGATCCTTGCACATTCTATGCAACATAAGAGGAGAATTACAAGCATTGTGATAATGCTGTGGAATATGTCAGTAACTATTTTAAATTTATTATACTTTCTGTATAAAATTTGTATTTATGAATCGAGTTCCAATCTTGTAAACTGTATTAATAAAATTATTATTAAAAGCACAGCAGGTGTCCCAGTCTGGCTTGCTTTGGATGACGCAGGAGAGGTGTATTTCCTTTTCCGCAGGGTACTAGGGAACAGCCCACAAGCTCTGGCTTGTACCCAGGAGAAGTCTGACGGGGGAGAGGAGCTGCAGCAAGCCTGGTCACTAACCACAAGGCTGACACTCTTCCTCTGCCGATGTGTTGCACCCCTTCAAGCCCCAGCAGCTGTGCCAGGGCGAGAACAGAGCCCAGTGTAGGCATCTTGGACCGGTATCACAGCAATTGAAAACGCGGTTTCATTTTTTAATTAAGAAAGATGAGAAAAGCGCCATTCACCGGCAGAATGGCACTGAAGGCAGTAATGAGCAGTCTGGTACATCTACTGTAGCAGTTTCATACTATTCTCCAGTGTGCATGTGGGAAAGGAGCCAGAGGACAGAGTGGAGAGATGCAGTTATGTGCAGCTCACTTTTATCCCCCTGTTTGCCTCCTGGTTAGCTTCAGGAAATGATGTCAGAGGCATCAAACCCTAAACCACAAAATTTGTCGGAAATCCTTCTCAGTGATTTCATCAGCGATTGTTTTCGGGTTTCAGCAGGACAAGTGTAAGACAGGCAGGGTGCACTTCTGAAAGTGTTTAGTTTCCTTGGTTTTTCCAAACATCATTTCTTCCCATGTCCTGTTGAAGCCATGTTAACAGGCTATAGAAAGGCAGGGAAGAGGGCTCGGAAGTGGAGCGACCATACACAATCAAATTATGACGTCGTTATTTCTAATTCAGAATTCCCCTTTTGGCTAATCTTCGGCTTCTTGCTTTGGAAGACCTGGTTGCATAGCAACCAGATTACAAAATTAAAAAAGTAAAAGTGAGTATTGTGAAACACATTAGTAGTCTGTTATATAGCCCTTATATAGTCTCTTATACAGGTATATACTGTCTATATATATTAAGTAAGCATTGTAGGCTTTTTTAATCCTTTAACGAGATAAGTGATTTTAGAATATACTCTAATTTGCAATGATGAATAGGAGAGTTTTCTGTTTATAGACTGATGGGTAGACAGTCCTGAAGCTTCTTTTGAAACGTGTAATATCCTGACATACAGTATATCATGTTCATTGTGACAAACACAGTGACTGCTTGCATCCCCTGTCTTTCCTCTCTGTGTTGGATTACTTGACTGCTCAACACAGTGTTCAAGTTTAATACAAACAAAAGCTCCAATCAAACAATCAGGGCAGGCAATAGAAGTCTACCTGCGGAGTTTAGACATGCATTTATATCCAACCTCACAATCTCCTGAGTGATGAGTCGCACCAAAACCACATCACACCACTGTGCCACCTGAAAATCAAACAATGAAATACAAAATGATAACATAATGAAGTTATTTCTAACTGTAAACCAATAACCAAGGTCTGTAAACCAATAACATTCAAATGTTTATTGATGACTGTTTTCTTTACATTTCATTGTTAAAATGTGTGTATAAAATACAGTATATGAAAAGGCTTATTCACATTTGTTTCCCTATAAGATGCCTATATTTACAGTACGTGGTTGATAAGCACCATATTGATTGTGGCAATGCTATACCAGGATGAGAATTGAGACATGAAGACTAACGTTCTTCGGAAAATATTGAATACTTTATAAAAAAGGCTATCAAAAAAAGTCTGCAATTACTGTACAGAGAAAATGGAAGTCATACATAATCATTAACAATGTGTCCATATTGCTGTGTAAAAACATAGATATGCTTTTCATCATAAATAGAAAATCACCTTCAGGATAAACCCATGACAGTATTATCATACTAGTGTGTTAAAACTGACCATCAAGTATCACAGAACCCTGTAAAAATCTGAGAATCGTTTTCAGTTTAATGATAAATTTAAAAATGAATTGATATGTCCTGTACCCGGATACCTTTCATCGCCATAAAGCTACATCAGGAACCACACAACTGTTACTGGGTACAGTTCAGCTCTACACCTGGGGGACTCCTGGGTACAGTTCA